AGAGCCAATATAAAAATAACGATTAAGATTAAATACCCAGAGAGAAGGGTTATTTGACTTCAGATTTTTACTCAGATTTTCACGTACTTCAGATCAGTGTTGTAAAGTACTGGATATTATTCATGGCATGCTTCAACCTGTATCTATCTACAGATTCTGTAGATTCTGTCCGGATGATGAATAAGCGATTAAATAAACATTTGGAAACGCGATCGCACACCGTCGATCGTTCTTCGAGAGCAGTACATATTCTTATGAGATACAAGTTAGAAAGTTATTCGGGCAGACATAACAGCGGAAGCGCAATTATTGTCACCGCAGATCAAACCTCTCTCGCCTCTCGGTAAATTAACGACGATTTCGAGCCGATCTCGGCCGGTGTTGCCCGGCTTTTGAATTCTCCGTGCACGAAACATTGATGGACGAGCGAACTTTCATAAACGACCTTACATTCCACTCGCACCAAGGGTGCCCGCCGCCGTTCTCAAGAGTATCGCTTTACTTTCAGAAATTTCAGGGGGCTACTGCCGCGAATTCAACGGCGTCTCCGCGTCGCGCACGTCGCCGGAAACGGGCTCTTTGGGTTTCCGTTAAAAACGAAATCAGCTCATGGACGTTCAGCGTGCGTGACGCGACCGGTGAATTGCCAGTTTGTTACTCGAAAGGCGGCCCCGCGCGCCTTCGGCGTTCGTAATTAACGGTACGAATGCACCTTTTATGAGGTCGCACCGTTACCTTCGTATCGATCAACAGACTCGTTAGTTAGACTCGATCTCTCAGAACGGACCCTCTCTACCGGCTACCGGCTGTATCCTTAGGGACAACTTTCGAACGCGGCGCCGCTTATCTATCACCTCGGAACATTTCGAGTTACCTCGCGCGCGCGTTCACTCGAGGGCTGCTGCGAGGATTTCCGCGTCAATTACGCAGCGACGACGTTTCTACGTTTATGTATTCGTTATTGCGCGTAGCGAGAGTGCGAATAGATTAGCTAGCGTAATGCTTGTTAAAAAGAGGATCAAGTATATGCGAGCTGTCCATGATGATCGATAAAAAAAATGTATGTAGATCACGTCTACAAGGATATTTCTTTGATAAATAACATAGCGCAGTCATATCCCTGAATTAAGTGACTAGCAGAGATTTAAGTTAGTTTTACACGACAATTACAACGCGGGAGGAGGTCCTGCGTGAAAGTGAAGAACGTAACGCTCATATTTCCGCTCGTTTCTAAAGCTCGTTTTCGAGACGATATTAACGAATAACAAAATTTTGTGTCTTTTGTGAGCTACGCTCACGGAGCGCGGAGCGGACGCTGAAGATTTAATAGAAATTCGAAATTTATACGGATTGGATGATGAAGATCGCTCGGGGGAATTAAGAGCCAACAATACGCTTTTAAAATATTACCAACGACACCAGAGGCGGAGGGGATAATCGTTTGTATTTGTAATTACAAATAACGAATGAATAGTCTTTTTCCACGATAATGTCAATTCGCTCGTGACGCTTACGCGTTCTACGTATCGCATCAGGAGAGAATTAACATCGAGTTCGCGTGACCAATCTACAAGTAAGATTGTGCAGATGATATCTGGATTTCTTCATTTGCTCACGTCGCTTTTGATGCGTCAGATTACCCGTACACGCGCTCGAGAGAGAGAGAGAGAGAGATCACAACAAGGATCAACGGTAAAAAAACACTGCTGCTCATTATCCTAGAAACTATTTCAAACTCCAGAGTCATGCATACTGATTGAGCGTTATTTGTTTGCCAATGTTCGCTCGATTAAATGTTAAACAAATTAATGGAGCGTTCAATGCCGCGTGACATCCTCGAAAGGCGTCATCCTGCATAAACATGGCGTTTCGCTTTTAATTTTTTTCTTTTCTCTCTCTCCCTCTCTCTCTCTCTCTCTCTCTCTCTCTCTCTCTCTCTCTCTCTCTCTCGACGCATCGCCTCTTCCAACTGCGTTCTGCTCAATGACTAATGGCCTCGTTATACTTTCATAAGTGTCATTACCGGCGTTCCCGTAATTGATTATACAATTTTACGACAATGCTCGTTCACGGTAATTGGCACGTCCTCGATCAGTCGAACGAGATTTTCCCTTCGGTATGACTTTATTCGCATGGTCGACCGTCAGAAGGCAAATCGAAATCGCAGCATTCGAAAATGCTAGCTCGAAGGCTAGCGTACACGGTGCGATGAACGATTACCGCTTTTCGTGAAATCATCACGTCTGCGTTTCGAGATAATCTCCCTGTATTTGCCTTAGTTTTAATTAATCATTATTATCACGAGACGATTCTTCGCTTCGGATAATGTTCGTCGTATCAGTTAATCAGATACTTTATCAGTAGGACGTTTCGGTGCATTTCGGTGCGTGTCTTCATCTCCGCGAAACATCACGCGTCAGAAGCGGACGACGATGCCGAAACATGCGGGCGGACAAATCACGACTCGCGAGTGAATTAATCGTCGCTGTAAATTTTCCCTCGGAATACCGCGGATGCCCGTCTCGCGTTTACAGAAGGCGAGAGAGGCAGTGAGTAGGAGGAGGAGAAGGAGGTGACGCGGCGGCGAGGAGCGCGCGTGCCGGCACGCTCGAAAGCGAGATATCTCTCGGGCGGGCGACCTCGTTAATTAAACCGAGTTTAGGTGACTGAGGTCGTAGTCAATCGCGCAAGGTCCGGCCGTCCCTCCGCGAGCAGTCGCCGTCGCGTCGCGAACGGACGCGAGCTCGATATTGAAAAGCTTCTCCGCGCGCGCGCGCGTCTCCTTGCACGATATCCGCTGCTAAAAGAAGCACGCTAATTAGCGGGTTAAGGCTGGGAATTCCATTTGGAACGAAGGTCAAGAAAACTGCGACCGCGGCGCACACGCGACACGAGACACGTCGTCGCGTCGTGGACTTTCTCGAGCGGCCGCTCGAGATCGTAGGGGCGGAAAATTCGTCGTCGTCGGAGCTGCGCCAGCCGTGCGTGCTGCGGCTGTGATAAATGGCGTAGATACAGTAGTTGGCGTTTGTAACGATGACTATTAAATCGCGAGCTGCTCCCCGACATTGATAGCCGAATCAAGTTGAGATCGTAAAATGTCCCGGTACGCGTCGTTACGTTCAACACTGTAATTATCACACAGAGTACGCCTGCGCTCTCTCTCTCTCTCTCTCTCTCTCTCTCTCTCTCTCTTGCCAACTTGTTTGCTCTACGGTTCACGCTCTCTTTCCGAATTTCTCGAGAGCTCGCGAAAATAGAAATCTCTTCCTTCGTTTGCCATCCGAGCGAACGGATATTTTTCTGCCAGCCCCCGTGTGATGAGAAAATTACAGCGATGCGATTGAATTTCTGTCTCTTTTTATGACGATTTTGACGATTTTGACGAGACAAACGTCAGAGAATCTCCACGATAATGCGCATTATCGTTATCGTTGACGCTATTATCCGCTAAATATGTCGCCAATCCTTTCTCAAGGTAAGACACAATCGGGATATATTATATAAGAAGTAAGAATAAAGAGTTTATCTCTTTAATGATGCACTCGCGGATGTGTAGATAGATTAGCCTATTATCGCAATTATTGTGCCACACACGAATGACACACATACGTGAGACGAGAATTTTTCCTTCGGCGGAAATTACGAGCTATCTTGAGAACGGTATATTACCGTGTCTTCGTCTTCGAGCGGCCGATTATACGGGGATAAAGTACGGTATTAAAATAACGATGGTCGGCTAACCGATCTTTAGATAGATAGCGGCGAACGACAAGTGGAAATCGATTCTGCACGTGTAACTATAACGCAGTCCGCCTCGTTATTTCACGGTCAATAAATTGCTCGATTAATCAAATTTTCTATAATTTTGTAGAAACTTTCGTGTAACTTTTGTTTGAGAAACAGACGCCCGTGCGATGTCGTCACGCCGCGCCGCCCGCGCCGCCGCGCCGGTGCAATAATCAAATGCGACTGAGTGACCGAGATTGATGGTCCGTTAATTAAAGCAACATTGTACCGAGAGGAACATTGTTCCGAGAAGGGGGCAACTTTTGCAAATTTTGACGCGCGTCGACAGGCTTTGACAGTTGAAAAAATTCGAGCGTTGCAGAGACTAACGCTAAGAGCGTCTAACGCTACGACGTAAGATCCGTTCCTCAGCAACAACAGCTGCTGACGTCATAATGCCGCGCGCTCGCGGGATAGAGATCCGGATTCCGATTGAGAGCATGATGCGATAGGCATTGAGACGTAACGTCTGGCACGTGCACCGAGCAGTCGCATGCATTATTTTGCCAGGGAAGATTACGGCGGATAAAATTTGCCGTCTCTGTGATCGAGCGAGAGAGACGGGGAATGAGGGAAAAAGAGGGAAAAGGGAGGCTCTTCGAGGCGGAAAAAGAATTGTGACTCAGCCGAGATTAATCATCATTTGCATTCTCACTTCCTCCTTCGCGCCGAAGAGATCACGACGAGATCGGATAACGCGTTCGCGCATAATCTCATTTTCGTAAACGGGATTACGAAGATCCCCCTCTTGATTCTCATATCTCGTATCTCGCGGCTCGTCGCTTTCGTCAACGCAGCGTTCAAGTCGCAAATCGATCTGGACGAAAATACTTTCGTCACACCGCGCGCGCGCGCGCGCGCGCGCGCACACACACACACGGTGCATCGTGCACGGCGTGTGACTGTGTCGGTATATCCTTCCTTCCTCCTTCCTCCAATGTGACTCACGTCTACTGAAAAGTGAAACGTCGAATCGATCGTCCGCGAGACGGCCGCGCGCGCCTTTCTCGCGCGGCGGCGGCTGCGGCGCCGGCGGCGGCTGCCGCTACCTGCTTCCTGTCCGCGGTACCACAGCGAGGCGGAGGTCACCTTGACCATCACTTGCCCCTCGAGAGGATAACGATTTGGCCGAGGGCACGGGCAGGTGCAGGGGGAACGGGCAATCGCGTGGATGGCCTCCAACGGCGACATATAAGTCCCAGGATCGGCCCCCACCCAGAATCAAACGGTCCTCTACGGCACGACGGGCAGCACGGCCGCGAGTCTCGACACCTGGGATCATCATCGTCATCATCTCCACCCGTCGTCTTCGACACCTGCTCGCTCGGAGAGAGAACAGCGATTCCGCTCCAGAGCGGATCCCGCACGGTAGGCGTTTCTTCCGGAGCCCCCTACCACCCGCGACTCCGCCGCCGCCGCCGCTGCCGAGAACCCTCGCGAGACAGGTGGTAACTCCTAGACTCGGCGCTTTAACGAGAGTGCAACTGCAGTTGGCGGCCGACTGTGTACGGGGAACGCGGAGAGAGAGAGAGAGAGAGAGAGAGAGAGAGAGAAAGAGAGAGAGAGAGAGAGAGAGAGAGAGAGAGAGAGCGAGAGGAAGAGAGCGAGAGGAAGAGAGAGACGCTCGTTCTGAGTCGCGGCGCACTCTTTCGGGGAGACCCAGAAAGGAGAGATGAGAATCGTAAGTACGACGAGCGCGCGATTACAAGTCCGCGATTTCTCGCGATCATCTCGCGGTTTGGCGCGAACGTGCGACGAAAAATCCGCGGAAAATCTGTGGAAACGCGAGAACCTAACCTGTTGGCTCACAGCCTCCGTTACGCCGCTCCGCGGCCCTTTTGCGTCTCCGTGAGCGACGAGCACGTCAAGTCGCAAGTGGTCAAGTGTTTTCGTTCTGAACTAGTGAAACTGTGTCCTGGTGAGCAGTCCCGAACGCAAGGTAGTCTTTGGCTGTTGTACGAGGGAGTTTCTAGACGCATTTCCGTCGTTCGTATCTCACTAGTAGATTTTTGTCGGACGGCGGGAAGCGCGGGAGCGCGCACTCGCGTCGGTTTAGCCTTTGTTTGTTTGCTTATCGACGTGCATTCATTCAGCTACGCAATGGTCGCGTTGGTCCCTGGAATAACCTTTCATCCTAGTGATGCGATAATCGCGCGTTGGATTCCATATACCCATATTGGCAGTGTTACCGGTGTTCGGAGAGCGAACAAATTTCGCTCGCATCGGTATGAGAACGAAGAAAATACAAATTTCAACTCCGCTCCGACTCTCGACTTTCTACATTCTTCTTGTTTCCGGAATCTCGCGTTCGGTCATAAAGTAAAACGCGCTTTTCCACTGTCGCTCTACTACTATCGCCACTAGCATCTACCTAGTAACCCCAATTAACTTCGCGGAGGGAAACAAAGCGTGGACTCGCATTAATAAGACGAACTTACGAAGCGAATAACCGGCGAATGTAATTACTTTTGCAACACACACAACTTGGTTATCCTACATTTTTCCAAGTGGTCTCTTGCGAATTAATTTACGGATCAATTTAGGGAGCAGCTAATTTCTCGATTAATTAACTTCACTGAGCGCGCAAGGTGTTTGTTTAGTAATAGAAATTATACGGTTATTTCGGGGAGAAAATTGCAGCTTTCCGCAAAAAGTGACGCCTCTGTGACGAGAAGTCGCCTTGAATTAAATCGTATCGCATCGCTCGATTAACACCTACACTATGACGCTAACGTGTTTCCTCGTCCGTTAGTTGCGAATTGCCGGAATGCATAAATTAACGGAAGAGATCGCTCAGTTTCCGCAAGCAAGGGGACACGTGTGTATGTGTGTGAAGATAGCTATCTGCCGGGCGAATGAAATCCGCAAACACCGTGTAATAGTTCATTCACGAGATTGTAGCCTGTGGCGAGACAGGTCCACGACCTTGCCTCGGGCTGTCGGATCGTTTGTTGGTGAACCGACATGTTTGACCGGCTTTAGATTGCTCGTATATTACGCAACATGTAACAAGAATAACATCACTACCATGAAGATTATTCGATGACTATATACATGTGTAAGAAAGGTCTGGAATTCCTCCTTTTCGAAATTCGATGTTCAATGATCCCTCGGATTCATTCCATATTCATTCCAAGAAAACGAACGACTGACTGAGGCAAAATTATCGTCACTGATAATGCACGTTGATCGCATAATTGCCTAAACTAGAATGATATCGCTTGACACAAAGTCACTGATAACTCACGCGTCCAATTTGTGGATGCACAAATAAAACTTTCGACTTCTTATCTTTAAATTGCCATCTCAAAGTGTTCATTTGTAATTTAAATTTCACTCTTTCGCGATCACTTCGCGGTGCGTAGAAGAGAATTCCTCCTCTACTGGGTTGGCAACTAAGTGATTGCGGATTTTAAATAAGAATGAAAATTCAAAATTTTAAATTCGCTTTTTTAAATTTTTTTCAATGCATGTATGCGATACATTGAGCTTCTCTGCAATATCACGTGTTGTGCTGTTATGACGATCTGAATCAATAATGGCCTCGATATGGGTCTCATCGACTTCAACTGGACGGCCAGATCGTTGAGCATTTTTCAATGAAAAATCACCAGAACGAAATCTGGCACAAACCAATTTTGACACTGCCTTTCTTTCAAGGCTTCATTCCCATATACGGCACATAACTTCTTGTGTGCTTGCGATGCGTTCTTGCCTTTTCGGAAATAATACAATAAAATATGTCTGAAGTGCACGTCTTGCTCCTCCATTTTTAAATTGGGATAAAAACAAAACTAAAGAACTGATCGATATAATTTTTGTACTAAATTTTTGTACTAAAAGAAGTCCAAACAATAAGAAAAAAATATAGGTTAGATACTTTGAACACGTTAACGAAACAAAAGAAAGTGTAAAATCCATCTGTCGACAAAATCCGCAATCACTTAGTTGCCAACCCAATACAATTAAATTCTCGTAGTGTAAGATAACGCAAAGTCATCGTCACAGATCAACGTGTCAATATTGAATGATATAAAAGTACCTAGGTATTATCTATTACGTAATTATATACGTGATATCGCGATAAAATGAGGAAGCCGAATTAAAATCACGATATACGCAATGCGGGTGCCGTTGCGATATATCATTATACATAACATACGATCAAATGCCGGTGTTTAAAGAGCATTTGAAAAATTAAGATACCCAGTCGTTAAAGCATGTCGTTAAAATGTGCAGCATAATAAGAGACAAGTTTTAAATGATGTAATCGAGTCGATCCAGCGGGATGTTTGAAAACTAGTTTCAAACAGCGCACGAAATTATTGAAGCTTAGCTTAGAAAAAGCCGCGAGCATCTCTCTAATTAGCATGCAAACTGGGATTTAATTAGCTTCACGTCACGCGTAATGGTGTTAACGACGTTTTCAGAGTACCACTTTTAGAAATAAATTGCGAGAAAGCGCGATTAATAATTTAGACTGGTTATGCAAATTATTATTAGTGAAAATTTCATAACGGCAAGCAATACCGGTGCACCATAGGCTGTAATTTTGCAAACGTTGAACTTATCCCACAGCTCATACTTCATGTTGTGGGATGTTAATGATCGCATAGATATCATAACCAGGTACTCTCTTTGACAAACTTGGATTACGCCTTCTCTTGAAAAGAATCTGATCGAATGTCGCCGCCTTCGCGTTCCTTTCTTTCAATTTTTAACGTCAGACACGTAATGAAATTTGAGTAAGATTGAAGGTATCATTTCAAATTGGACGAGATGACTGAAATGTTTCGTTTACTCACGCATTACATTCAGAATTAAAATTAAGACACGTATGTATACACACATACGTTTAATAAGCCACTCAGTCACGGACAAATCTACGCCTATGCTGGATCAGGTTTATCATAGGCTTAACCGGAACGGATTTCGTGCGGGAGTGGCACACTGAGAGTCACGACATAGTTGTGTCCCTCTCTTTGCGATTTCACAAGTGCGTGCGCACGACACTTATACAAAAATACGCGCTAGCGTTAGCGTAACGTAATTAAAGTATATTGCTGCAACGGCGTTTTATTAATTTTCTTCGAATTGTTCAAAACTGACAAACTACAGGTTGCGTGGAAAAAGTTCGCGGAGCGAAACTGAAATAAAGAATATCAAATTCTAAAAATTATTTTATTCTTCAATATAGTCTCCATTAACTTCAATACACTTGGCCCAATGGCTCTCCAATAATTTTATCCCATCGCGGAAGTGTGTTTCTGGAAGGTCTGCGAAAGATGCCTCTACGACTGCTGTAGCTTCTTCATTCGACAAAAAATGCTTTCCACGGAGGAATCGTTTGAGGTTTTGGAACAGACAGAAGTCGCTGGGTGCCAAATCTGGCGAATACGGTGGATGATCGAGCAATTTGTTTACTTCAATTCATTGAATTTAGACATTGACAAAACACTTTTGTGAGCAGGTGCGTTGTCTTGGTGAAAAATGATTTGTTTGTGCTGCAGCAAACCAGGTCTTTTCTCACGAATTTTTGCGTCCAATTGATCCAAAAGGTTACAATAATATTCAGAGTTAGTTGTTTTACCTTTTTCCAGATAGTCAATTAACAAAATCCCTTTAGCATCCCAAAAAACTGATGCCAAAACCTTTTTTGCCGATCTTTCATGCTTTGTTTGCTTTGGAGCTGAACATCCAGCTTCAGTCCACTGTAAACGTTCCTGTTTCAATTTAGGATCATGGTGATAGATCCAAGTCTCATCCATAGTTATAAAACGACGCACAAAATCGGCTTTATTCTTCTTAAAACGATCCAAATGACGCTGAGAAATTTGCTTTCGAGCGAGTTTTTGTTGAATTGTTAACGTATGCGGCACCACTTTTCCAAACACCTTTTTCATTTGTAATTCTTTATGCAGAATATGCCGTACCCGTTCATCTGAAATGTCTACGGCATATGAACAATTTCACGCGTAGTCACACTTGGATCTTCAGAAACAATAACATGTATTTGCTCAATGATTTCCGGTGCTGATGCGCTTTTTGGACGTCCACTGCGTGGATCATCTTCAATGCTTGTACGACCACGTTGAAACTCAAGTGTCCATTTACAAACTATTGTTTTTGAAGGAGCAGATTCCCCTAACACATTTACCATCTCGGAATGAATTTCCATTGCCTTTAAGCCTTTTTTAACAAAGAACTCAATCACTGCACGCTGTTTCAAATTTTCCATTGCAAACAAATATACTGACACGTCAATTTCAATTGGCTTGTAAACACAGAAAGAATTGACAGAATGGAAATGAAACCTAACCTAGGTTCGTGTGAAGAGTGATTCTATATAACCGACTACAATTTATAATTTTACCGTTTATTTATAGATGCCGCTCCGCGAACTTTTCACGCAACCTGTATTTCTTTACTGAAAATTCTAATCCATTTTCTATATAATTAGAAAATCCAACAAAGTCCCACTAGAATTTCTGTTGCTTGAAATATTCTACAATCTTTTATCTTACAAATTTTCTTAAGATTTAATGTTTCGTTAAACTTAAAATTCTCACATGCACGACTTTTCGACTGAAATATAATTTACTAAATAATTCGCAATTTCATAAGTATAATAAGAATTACTGTTTTATTTTATTGTTTCTTTTTTTAATGTCTCTCTCTTTT